AAGAGAGACGCACATAAAGATGTAATGACAGAAAAATGGATGAGTACAAAAGGGATACACGGTTGTTCCGAGGTAATCCAGATTGAGAGACCCATCTAAATCTTTTTCAGCACTGTAATCTTCTTTTGCTCATTGTGTTACAAAAATACTTTCAACGTAGAAACATCTTATAATATGAAAAAAATTTGGTTTTTCTACCTTCCTTCATTTTGAGGAAGAAAACTGTTATCGTATGGAGTCAGAAGCGTCTCTAGACGTGTCTAACGCCGAAGGCGTTTACGTCAGCGACTGTTGACGAAAATGATACTTTATAGAACGCAGCATTAATAGAAACTTCCTAGAAATAGGTTTTAAGCCTTCAAAATATAGTTAGACATATGCAATTGATACTATTAATGCAAGCGAAATTGCTTTGTCGGCAGGTCTAAATTCTATTTCAGTGTTGTTGCGTTCCAAAACCTAAATGGTCATTGAATGAAACCATTGATATTTGTTTAAAAGTTTTTGCCGCCGAAGGCGGCCGCGCTTGTGACCATTTAAAAAATAAAACTCTTATGCGTAAACAGTACTATAAGAAAATGTTTAAATGATATATCAGACTTCTTAGGTCAGTTGTAATTGTAAAGTTCTCACTTTTCGCGAAGCGAAATTTTTTTTTTCACTTTATATCTTGTTTGATATAGACTTATTTAATTCAGCACTTTTTGCCAAAGAGTTAGTAAGCTTCTACTTCATGTCTGCTTTCGCCCTTTTTACTAGTGAAAATAACGAAAACTTTCAAGTTTTGTGGGAGGGGGGCGTACTACATAAGCAATTTTTCAAACCAGGGTGGCGTTGCCATAGACAATTTCAAAAGCAGGGGGGGCGTAACGCCCCCCCCCCCCCCCCCCCCCCCGCTACTTACGCTCCTGGCCACCCCTACACTTAAACAAACAAGCTAGCTTAAAGTAGCTAATAGCTCTCGCTGAAAAGCGCATATTTTAAGCAGCTTAAAAACGCTTGCGGTTGAGTATTTCAACACTGCTAGGCGTTTAGCCTGTAAATATTAGAAGCGCCGGATTTCACCAAAGGAACATGCATAGATGATTCGTGCGTATTCCCATCATACTGTGCCTATATGCAGTGAATTTCGGCAATAATATAATCTCCAAAAGATTCTGAATTCTTTCCACATTTATTCGAGATAATGAGGTTTGAGGAAGTCCTTCTAGACGAGCAACTTTATACACATAAAGACCTTATTTAGACTCTTTCGTAAATTGAATTTCATCAATGTCGAATATGACATTGCACCAAGGCATAAATTTTTCAAAATCATGTTCATTTATACAAAGTTGCTCGTCTAGAAAGAATTCTGTAAAAAGTCATTATCTCGAACAAACATAGGAAAGAGTCAAAATCTTCTTGGAGTTATGTTATTATCGTGATTTTCTACATATGGAAACACTATACTGGCATATGCAGCGAATCGCTAAAGAATTTTATTTTGTAAGCAATACAAGATCAGTTTACGAGTTACTTTCTGTAGAGGATCAGTAGTTCTTAAACATGGCGCATCAGAAGTGAACTTCGAAGACAATTAATTATTTAACAATACTTCACTTTAATATTATATTAATTTTGACTAGTGAATGTTGTTCGCAACACTTTCTGCACAATCTAATTTAAAATTTTGCCTTCGAAGATATATTCTAGAAGTTTGGTGAATGACAGCAAGTGGCAATTAACTCACATTTTTTTGTACAGTATCAATTGAGTATTCTAAGACATATGAATAAGGCATGGAACAAAGAAAAACTCATAGTAATACTGTAATGAGTGAATTACTCTGTAATTGCCTAAAAAGTTGAAGAACGCAACGATATTTTCTATCACTAATGAACATTGTAGTTAAATTAAGCTAAAACACGTGATATGCTCAGGCATTGATCAGTATATATCGAGAGAAATCTACAACACTTTCCAATCATTTTTGCTGTAAGTCCTTTGAAGTGCTTAAGTACAAGAAAAACACAGAACTTTTTAGTGATTTTCAGTTTAAGTGCTATAAAATGGTTTGCAACGCTTGTAAGACCTTTTTCTAAGGTCTTTTGAGCTGTTTATTGAAGTGTAAGCTTTTCTAAGCCACTTAGAAATAACTCACAAAGACGAAAATTTTCATGTGGATATTTGTAATCATCTAGTGAAAAACACCGCATATTGTAATATATTCATTTGACATTAACGGAATTTTATTGGTAGAACATTCTCAATTCTTTATATCATTGTTCATCCCTACCTCGGTTCAAAGCAATATCTATTTGTTAGTATGTCTGATGTTTTTTTCTATACATCCATGTTACTTAAGAGAAAATTATAGTATAGAAAAACATTTTAACGGAAATTATGTCCATGTTTGTTCATTTACAGTTTATTATATATTTTGAATAAAGTCCAACTGTTTTCATATAAACTAAGAAGCTAAGTCATAATGTGATATAAAATATAGCTGTATTATCTCATGACAATTCTTTTGTATGATTTGAATGAAAATTTTCCTGACAAGACTAACGTTTGCGAAAATGCGTTATTTGTTTAATCACACTGAAAATTTGAAAATGACACATCAAATAACTTCAATAGTGTAATTATTTGTTTAAAACATCAAAAAAGAAGGCGCATTCTGAGAAACACTCAGTCATGAAAAATTCAAGTTTAGCAATTTAATTAAATGTGACATATAGTTTTTTCTCACCATCTGCATCTCACGAGGATTAATTTAAGAAAAAGATAAGAAGGTATGACACAATCGGATAAAACCTAATGTGAACTGTATAATTAAGGTTTTTAATATTCATAAAGAAGCTAGCCTGGGAAGAAGTACTACTTAATATTATAATCAATGAACTAGTATATTATGATAGTTTACTAAAAACTACTAACGAAGGAATGTTTTCTCTCGTAAGTTAAAGTCAATTAAACAAAATTTACCTCTAAACATGATGCTATAGTATCATAGATAGTCTATGATTTATCGATTTTTATTTCTGAATGTGAGAATATGACCACTGCAATCCAACTTAATTCTTTCAGTAAAATAATAAATGTAACAATGAATGGTTTTTTCAAATAAACAAAGATTATTTTTAATTTGAACATTTTTGCTAATTTATCATCTTTAAGCTAGTTACATTTTTGATATTGTACTAAGTTTTAAGATTTGGTAATGTTCCTTCTCACCTTTCTATTTTTGTTCATCCTTTGAGGACATCAAAAATTATTCATTCTTTAATAATCTGATTATAAATAGATGCACTTCTTTTCATGAACTGCTATACTATTTAATTTATTCATTGGCTACTTGTTGCGAGTGAAAAACTGTCGGACAAGTACAAGAACTACAAATTAACGAAGTTCACTACTACATATAATGTTCGTAAATAAATCGAAGAAGAATGATTGTTGTAAAGATCATCAACATTGATTTCTAACCGAAAGAAAAACAGCAGAGGTTTCAGCCTTGAAATCTTAAGCACTCTTGAAGTCTATGTTTCCTCCTTGTCTCTAACGGAAGAAGATTTTGAACAACATGAATCCAAAGGGTAAACAAGAGTTTCTTGAATGATATTGCAAACGATATACTGATGCATTTATTTCAGCTAAATACAGATAAGAATTGTATCAAGCAGTGAATCAACAGTGATATGTTAAAATGAAGAAACGTCATCGAATTTCAGTACCTCACCATGGTTCACTTTTCTATCAGAAAAAAAGAGCAAACAAACTCTCTTAGAGTTGCAACAAGCTTTCCAAAAAAAAGACTTCTTTGCAGCTTATGGTACTGGAAAGAATAATGTCAATTAAATCTAGTTACTTATTCAAAAAGTACAACATAAAAAATATAAAACTTTCCAAGCCAATGAACAAAAATATGTAAACCAACACCACTTAAAAAATTATACGCGACGCCATCGCCTGTCAATTAACAAATGCTCACATATATAAATTTACCGAAAAAATAAATTTCTTGTCACTTTTAAATATACAGCAGAGATTTGAAAGAAAAGAAACAATATCCAAATGCAAACCAGACTCTATTACTCATTAGATAAAAACCATGTTTCACAAGAAGGGGGTCGTCTAGAGATGGTACTATCTTTGCAGAAGAATGGAAGGTGAACGACTGCTAAAAACTCAATAAGACCTTTTTCAAACAACACGAACGAGCCAAAAGCATAGATAACGTTAAGAAACTCAAATGCTTGCGTTTTATATCTGTATAGACGGAAATATGACTATGATCGATCTAAGCATTCTTCAGCAAGACATAGAGAAGATCTATACGATTGACAAAAGTAATTTGTTTACCATTCATTTATTCGCAAAAATTAGTAAAAAAGAATAGACTAGAGAACGATTCACATCGTACCTTCAAAATTGTGTTACAGATAGGCACACAGAAATAAAGTGCAATAATTATCCTCACTAGATGCTAATCTTTCAGTTTAGAGAATACCTATTAGTCGATCCCTATGAGATTAAAATGTAAAACATGATGTAACAGCTGTCATCAACCATAGAGAAGACATGATTTCATTCTATCTATTTTGGAACATATCTCTTCATCATCTTTTCACTTAATGATCCAGAACTACAATAAGGTACTAGTTTATATAATAGAACAAGAAGTTATCGACATATGGCCTGTGATTTTATATCAATATAATTTGTCAGTCTAGAGAGAGGGGTTCAACTCTGTACCTCTATACTTCAACACTGCTTTTAGATCATGTTTCAAAAAGTGGCTTCTTGGAGAGTAAGCAATTCACTATTGAATGGTCTAAAAACAAAATATTTCAACTTTTTATTTCTCTTTCATCAAATGGATACAATAAATTCAATTGTTTCAAGGAGAAACATTGGCTCATGGAGATTAGTTAAAATGAATGATTGATTATTAGAAGAACCATTTCTGAAACTAACAAACTTTATTTAATATATTCAAACAGAATGAAAAAAAACTAATGTTTATCTGCTGGACATGGTTCAATCATGAGAACAAGTTGTCGAAATCGTTGTTGTATATGTTTATCATTAATACAAGCAAAACCACCATGTCTAACTTTTTGTTCGGCTTGTCTATTCATATCACCAATACATGTCCATGTACCATCATTACTTACAAGCCATTTCGAATGATCATGATGAACAGTAAAATTAAATGCAAGTTTTTCAATATTTTCCGTATGATATTGACCTGTACAATTTGATGGTAAATTCATTTGTCTACCATTTGACCATGTTTCACTTAACATTGATGTATGAAGAGATGGTACTATAAATTCACTTAACATATCCATATTAGCTAATCCATATTTAGCAAATGTAAGAATTTCAAATGAAGAAGTATTTAATGGAAAAAAATGTGTATATGGTGGTCCATTTATATGACCTTTGTTTGTTATAATACTATTTGCAAGAATTGAATAACGATTTCTTGCTGATGGAGTTAAATTGGAATCAAATACCAATGGACGTGTAAAAAGAAAATGAGTAGAAAGTAAATCAATAGAATTTACAGACAATGAAGTAGTACTATCAAGTGTTATGCATAACATTGTTTGACCAAATATACGACCTGAAAAGCAGAAAAAAGAAAAAGTATATAGAAATTCAAAACAAATTAATTTTCTATCATATAAATATACCTGAATCTGGATATTCATAACCTTTCTCAATGATTTGTGGAAAATGTGGAACACTATGAACAAGCCAAAATCCTTTTTGTGTATTATCATCAAATGCTAAAACACCTTTCGAATGACCATATACTAATGAAACAGACATATTTGGTGGTTGATCATTATAAAATATATATGAATATTCTTTCAATTTATATAATGGTTCTAATGTTAAACCAGTTAATGATAATGGTGAATCAATACTTTGTAATGAAAATTGCCATTTATCTAAAGATGATGAACTATCCAAATAGATATAACCAGTACCATTAACAACAAATGGATCAATTGAATGTGTAAGACGTGGTAATTTATATACAATAAACCAATCGACAGGCTCATTTAAATGATTTCGACATACACATGCTGGTACTACTGATGAATTTCGACGAATAAAGAATAAGTAATGATAATACAGAGTCATAAGAATAATTAAAAGCAGTGTTAGAAATTGAAAAGCCATTTGTTCACGTTTTATTTGTAGAACAATTATATTCAACACGGAAATATTCAACAAATCATCTTACACCAATGTGACTTTTCTATTTCTTCAATAACCGAAATGAACTCTGTCAAGTGGAATATATTCATGTTAGAAAAAGTGAAGAAAGAGAAAAAAATGATCAGTTCGACCGTCCGTTAGAAAATATCAATATGTTGAGTTACCGTCCTTGAACGATAGACACATAATATTCTTTCGTTGAACGCAAAAAAAAATATCTCTTTTCTCTATGTCTACATATATATGTGTACGTTCGGTTACTTAGCGATATTCAATATAAGCATAACAATTGTTTTGTTAGAAAAAAAAGTTTACAAGAATTTTTTTGTATAAAGTCATCTAAGAGTATTTAGGAATAAATCAAAAATATTCTATTCGACGCTCACGAAATCGCTACAAAAGTTAGCACTAAATCGCCGATTTTGTTCGTGTAACTTCGATTTCTACTGATATACTGAACAGTTCCTGTTATGAAGTTATGCTAAGGAATATTTTTATTAAAAAATTAAAAATACTAATATGAAATGCAATTCCTCACCGGTAAATAAAAACACAATCGAAAACGAAAGACAAAATATACAAAAAAAAATCGTTTCTAGGTAGAAGTTGATATTTTGAATCTAGTCTTTCTCTAGAATCATTCCATAAACAGTCATCTTTGTTGATAAGTTAAATATCTAAAATAGAGAAAGGAATAGAAATCATAATACAAAAGCAGGACTTAAAATATTCATCTAGAATTTAATCTTGAAAGATCCGATGAGATATGCTATTTCTGATGATAGATAATGATAAACCAAAAATCAGTTCATATTGAGATTGCAGACTATAGTTATTCAATGTAATCTAAATTAAGGTTAAGAACTCATCTAAAATTGAAAGACGACTTGCTTTCAAAACAACATATTATTAAACACATCTTTTGAAATAAATAATTCAATGTGAATACGAAGTTTAGTTCGATTGGTTTTTGAAATTATCCAATCTTATTAATGTCATAGTAGTGACATTCATATTGAAACAAAATCTTTCTCTTGATTTTGCTAACGATAGTAAAAAGATGTGTAGAAACTTGATTTGCTTTCCAATATTTATCTCATTAATTGAATTGTCATTAGTAACTGAAATCAATGATGAATTTATCACTTGAACAAATAACCGATATTGAAAAAATCATTCCTTGTGTCATAATCCCGGTTAAATCTGTATTTTTTTTCCATGAGATACAATTTGATGCTGATTTATTTTTAAAATCGCTACGATTTTCATAACATCAGTTCTTCAATTAGAATTCAATGATTGTAAGCACAATTTTTTTCCTTGCTTATGTCTAAAAATCATGTTTGAAATAATGTGACTATTACAGGCTTCTTTCTATTTACAATATCTCAAAGTTTATCATATATCAATTATATGTAGTCAATGCCAATTAACACGTGAAAAATTAAATAAAATACATTTATTGACAGACGTACTTGATCAGGAATATTATTCATTAAAACAAGTTTTTTCTTCGTTATTGTAAGATTTCATATGCAAACAATAGGAATTTTTCAAAAGTCACATTTTAATGTACATCATTGTGATATTGAGCAATGTTTAGTTAATATTGAAAATAAACAACAAAGTTCATGAATTGATCAATCAAAAATTTATACATTAAAACATCTAGTAAAACAATTTGATTTTATATCGTTGTTTTTTTATTCAGAACTTTTCATAGAATCAAAAATTAAAAAATGAACTGAAAACAATAAAATTAGCTAATGAAAGTTTAAAAAGAAAGTCACTAAATGTTAGTGATCGTCCTAGAGAAAAAATTTTTGTTTAGTTTGAATTCTACTTGTCAAATAAATAATCAAACTGAATATAATTTGTTTTTCATTATTATTTATCATTAGGATTTATTTACAGTAATACCAAATAGTCGTCATCAACGCTCTTATTCATCATTTATCTATTTTCATTTTTTGGCTTAGATCTAAGTTTATTATACAGAAATATTTTTAATATCTTTATTAAAGATTTCTTTTTAATTTTAAACTTAGCAGTTATTACTGAAGATAAATTGTTCGAACTTGAAAATTTCCAAAGTTTGTCAATATAAATCAAAAAACTTTTATTTTTTTAGTGCAAATATTTCAATCTAGTTTTACATAATTCGTGAGTCTACAATATAGATCAATCATTAAGAAATTAAACTATTTGTGAACAAGTAAATCCTTTCTAATAAAGTCCTTATTACCTATTGGTAAATCATGAAATTCTTCATCATCAATTTCACGTCGTGGTTTTGGTATACGTGAACCTCGTCTAGCTCGATTTTGTGCTAGAACATCTTTTAAATTAGAATGTTTTTGTTGATTTTTGTTTTGAGCTAATGATCTATTTACTGATTCATGTAATGATCGTGATGTTCGAAGAGTGTGTTGTTTTAGGATTGAACGACGTGGAGAAGATAATTGACTAAGATTAAGTGGTGTTATATGTGATCGAGAAGGTATTGCTCGAGGAGATGATTCATTACTGTTAACAACATGATGTGGAGAACGAGAAATGGAAGGAAGATTTTCTGCTTGTAGATTGTTATCAACAGGATGTGATTCTACTTTAAGCTAAAGAAAAAAATTCAAATAAATATTTCATTTTATAATCACTACTCTATCAAGTAGAGAATGCTGAAGTAGTTATTTACAGCCTATTAGGTTCAAAATTTTTAAGCCCCAGTCTGACTAACAGAAAACTTTCAAACCCTAACGCCTTCTATCGATGTACCTCCGAAGATCAGGCTGGTTCTTCCAGAGTTTGTGATTATGTAGCACGTACTATGGTTCTATACTTCCAAAAACTGGTGTTCACTTTCCGGACGTTTGAAATCATCTCTCAGCAAGAAAAAAAAAGTGATTGTTGCAATTTCTACGAGATAAAAATGTGAAACATAATGTAATTGTTGCTGTTGCTAATGAGAGAGAGAGATTGTTTTATTGTATTTATTTTAGGACACATTTTTTTATCATCATTTTACTTAATTCTCGAAAAATCTAATAAGGAAATAATTCATTTATTATAACCAAACGATATTGATATACGGTCTGGGATCGTATATCAACAACGTCTGTCATGGTCTAGGATGAGAGAGAGAGACACACTGCGAAGGACATCGGTGGAAAGGGTCCATAGTCTTACCCTTCTACTTCAACACTCCTTTCAGATCGTTTTTTTTTTACAAAACTATGATAAAACATTATTAATAATCATACTCGTTGTTTTGGTACATGATCTCGTACAACATATTCATTAATTTCTTCATTTTGTGGTATATAATCATGTTCATGAATATATTTACTTGTTTGTGATTGCGATGGTTCATAATAGATTCTTTCAATAATATGTGCTCGTCTTGGTGAAACATAATTATGTTGACGAGGTGATATTATAGGTAATTTTTCAATATGATTATCGTCATATGTTTCGAAATTTTTTCTTCTAACTAATATAGGTGAATAACTTCTTTTTTGTTCTTTGTCAGTAGGTACTTCGTCAAGTTGTGATAGATCATAGTTATTTCCATAATCAACTGGAACATAATAATAAGCTTTATGATCACCAAAATCTTTTTCAACAATATTATATTGTCTTTTTTTTCTTCGCTTTGAAATAGTTTGTGAATAATTTTTTAATTTATTACTATGTTCTTGGGCAATATCATTTGATGTATAATAATACTCAGGCACTACTCGACTCATTGTCACCAAAAGTCATACCAGAACAAAAAATAATCAAAAAGAAAAAAAAAAAAAAAAGAGAAATAATTGTGAATAGAAAAGAAAACAATAAATCATAAATTCATTATTTTCTCCATCGGAGAACTCAAATAAGAATAAACAAGAAAACCAAATGTGTCAACATTGTCGATGAAGAAATCATCAGACAACTACGTCCATCCAACAAATCTATGAGAAACCTTTTCAATTATTTAAGTAAAAACAGAAAGAAAAATATTTTTATTTATCTCTCTCTATATCAAATATTAATTTCATTTGTATGATTGTCTTTTGACAATAAATTTTGGTTTCTTTTATAGTAATAACTCATCTGACTATTGTTCGTCTTGTTTCATCTATATTTATTGTTGCGCAGATTTAAAACAAGTCAATAAAATATACATAATAACATAAATAATTATGGTAAACTTCCATTTTTTGTTATTTGCATTGATTAAAATTTCATCACTTAATATGTTATATGAAGCAAATACAATATAGATTGTTACAAATAAAAGCCATATAGATATTCAAATAAGTTTTATTTCAATCATGTAGATTAATATAGCCGTAAAAAATCTATATTGAAGAAGATTTCTAAGAGAAAAATTTAAAAGACCACGATATGAAAATTTTCTATGTATGTATATATATATGAATGACTAATTTTATCGATATTAGTAGAATTGTGGAAGAAATTCATAAAAGCATCAGTGATATTATTTCTTATTGTATTCTTTTATCTAATCGACAATAATGAAGATTAGCTTAAATAGAAATATTTGATAATAAATATCGAGGAGTTATTGACTGAATATCAATACAAATAACAGGACTATTTCGTTATTAATTTTTTTGAAATTAAAAAAAAATTAAGTTTTATTTACAAAGATTCTGTTGACTGATATAATAACAATTGTGGAAAGAAGAAAATGCATTTGTACTAGATAAAGATTCACATATAAAAGCACAAATATTAACAAGAGCATCTATTTATTTAGTCAACAACTGTTTGAAAAACAGAATAACACATACACCATACAATCAATATTATACCTTTGATTTTTTTTTTTTATTCATTCGTACGAAAAACATTTATAACTATGCATCAAAATTATAATCGAGTGTCATGCGTTTATTTAACCTGTCTTCGGAGTATTCTGTTTATTTATCATTCAAAGAATAAATCCAAACAGACTAACATAGACAGATTCAAGTCTATCAGGTATTATCAATCATTTCTCTTATCAATAAAAATTTTCCGATTCTTCGTATTAAATCAATATATTGTATTTCTCCAATATGAATTGATATACCACTGAGAATTAATGTTGATAAATTTAGAATTATTTCATTCATATGTAAAAATATTTCTTTTTTATAGGAAATACTAGTGGCTACGATTTAACAATAACAGACTGCATTAGACACATCAGAATTATGATTTATAATAATGTTATTTATCTAAGAATAGTATTAACAACACAAACGATGAAATGAACTAAAACCGGAACAAATTAAACTAATAAATATTTCTATTCAAATAAAATTTTCTTTATTTTCGATATTCATTTCTCGCCAAAATAAGTAAGTGTAACGATAGGAAATAGAGAAAAAGAAATATTAATTAATTAATTTAATCTTAAATAAATTCAATTATGATTTAACATCGATTAATGAATAGCATTAGTAGTCGTATTTCTTCAAATCAATTCTCAAATAAAGACATAAAACACATCTATATATATTTATTCAATAGTAAGTTCATATTTTATACTAAATATAAAACCATTAATAACAACAAAAAAGTATATTATTTTAAATAAAGTTCTATTTTATTATCGATGTTCAGGTATGTAACTTTCATTTTTCATGATTTTCTTTATAAACAAGGTTTCGTATCCTTTAGGCATAATTAAAATAATCTCAAAACATCAATAGTTCTAACGCATATTGGTTTGTTTTTTGACTTCTATCTAAGAATAATTTTTCTATGAATGTTGATACTTGTCAAAAACAAGTTTACAAGTGCGAGTCACTGTTAGTAATTTTAATGAACTATTCATAAATAGAGTAATATAATCTACCAATCTAAACAATGACAAATGATAGATATTTAGGGATGCAAAAAAATGTCTTGATTCACTATTATAGTTATTTGTTCGATTGATCTATTAATATTCAATAATAAATGTATTGCTTTTAATTATATTAATTTAAAAACTTCTCTTCATTAATTAAACACCAAATTATATCATGATCAGCATACTTGTAGAGAGAAATGCTGAACCATACATAAAAACAGTGATGATTTCTTTTTTCTTTTTACATTGTTTAGACTTCCATCCAAAAATATTTTTGTTGTAAGAGAAAAGTATGAGTTTGCATGCTAAAATATATCCCAAAATTATATTTTCAAACATGGATCGTAGAAGAGTCCATTGAGATCCAAGCGAAAGAGTTGTTCAAAAAAGAACGTCTATCACATAATCTATCAGAATGATGTGACGTTTCTATACTGTACTCTAGACAATATAAATTAAATTAGTAATATTTTCTTGTATTCTTGATTAATAAAAGAGAATAAAATTTTTAATTAATTTTTTAAAGATTATAAATATACAAATGTGAATATCTTTATTCTATTTAAAACTATTAGTTGTTAAGTAGTTTTTATTAGTCAAATAAATATAAAGAAAAGTCCTTGTTCTCAATTATAGTCTAATTGAATAATGACAAAGTTTCGATATATTCATATATGTTAATATTATTTTCAAAATCTTTTTTTTTTTCTCCGAGATCGATTAATTAACTACAAGAGATAGATCGTGACTGTTCAACATATATTATGCATTTAATTTCATTAATTAATATTACAGAAACACGATTTGATGTTCATCATTGATATTATTCCCTGTCAGGGATTTATCCCTTGTAATAATATTTTAAAACATGAATTCGTAATTATTTCAATAATATTTTCTATCGTGCAACAAAAAAAGAAATATTAAATAGATAAAATCACTTTTCGAAAAGGCTCATTCAGTTTTTCTTTGATTCATGTCAAGATGGTCGAAAGAAAAAAAAAACCATTGACAACGTTCTTTTTTTGACAAGTTCAAGAAAGCATTTTTTGCTGTAATATAATTATCTCTTTAGATATAAAGAAATGTATATATTAACTGACGTCAATATTTAAAGGAAAAGGTCATATAGACACGAGTATATGTTTAAAGCAAAACATAACAATCATTCGTTGTTATATTGTCTTGAAGCTTTCTTCTATTTCAAGTAATTGACAAGAAATAGTTAGTACTGCATTAATACGATTATAGTCAGTGATACCATATACTTCAACTCTAAATAATAGGTTCTTTTTTTTTTCGAAATCGAAATCCATGAAACTACTGATTTTTTTTATAAAAAAAAACAGTAAAATAATCCTTTATATTTTGTATGAATAATCGATAAATGCACTTTTAAAAAGATATCAATTTTCATCATGTGCAAATTCGTCATGTCTACGATGGATATAAAAAATAAATATTTACTTAAGTAGATTTTTTCAAAAACTAAATGCATACATGACCATGTATACTAATCATTAGAAATTTCAGTCAAGTATGTACATAAAAAAAATACAAGATAATAGATTATTAGTCGATTAAGTTTTCCTTGTACTTAACTATGGAAACGATATAATGTAGCGCACATTTACTGTAACGACAAACGTTTGTCAATATAGAAATGTCTTTATTGGTCAATATAGTAACATGATTAGAGAATATCAACGATATATTTCTCTTTTCTATGGGCAACTATTGTCTACTAGTTAATCTGTTTTTGATTCTATCAACACTTAGTGTTTATTCCCTCTTTCTTTTTTCTTTTTGTTATTAATCGGAGTATTTTTTTTTCTTTCGTTTCAAAAGTAAATATTTTCATATCGAACACATGGCGAACTCGCGAGGATCATATAAAATGTCGCCTTCATAAATAATAAGTTTCTTTTTCTTTGAGTTGCCATTGAGAAAGGAGACTTTTGTTAATTTTTTCCTTTTTTTTTTCATGTTACCGATGAAAAAATTATTGATACTATGTTTCCGACAAAAAATTAAATGCTTTCTATTGAATTGATTTTAGATAAGAAAATGGCTCAATTACAAGTAACAGTTATTGAAGCAAAAAATTTAAAGAAAAAAGATACACTTAGTGAAAATGATCCATTTGTAGTACTATATCTTGATGATGCAAATTACAAACAAAAAACAAAAACAAAACAAAATGCGAAAAATCCAAAATGGAATCAATCGTTTGTTTTGTAAGTTTTTTGTTTTTAGTTTCAATTTTGTCTTGACACAATGTTTACTTTAGTAATCATTTATATGGACAAGATGTTCTTCATGTTGATGTGTATGATGAAGATTCAGTTAAAAATGATAAAATAGGTTCAGTTGAAATTGATTTACGTCAATTATATGACAAAGGTTTGTAAAAAAAAAATAATTTATATGAGTTAATTTTTTTTTTTCATAGGTCATTTAGATCAATGGTTTGACCTAAAAGGAAAATTCGGTTTAGCTCGTCATGGGGAAATTCATCTTATTCTGGACTTTCAACGACTTCGAGTATAGAATTTGCTATTCTATTTCTTATCCAAAACAATGTCTTCAGAGTAAAACATAAAAACCTACAAATTATCCATATATTAACTTTTTATATAAAATCAAATTGATTTATGTTTGACAATCTTTTATAGACATATTCTTCTATAAAAAACAAAAGTGTTTCTATTTTTCTTATGATGTATTATAAACTGAGAGGTAAATAATGATTGTTTTTACTTGAACTGATCTTCGACAGATTTAGTTTAAGTACAATAATTCGGCGAGAAGAAAATTCTTTCAATATTTTTTTATATATAGCTTATGAATTAACCTATTGCTTATTTTTATTTTTGTGAAATATTATAATAATAATAATAATAATCATAAAATAAATATTTTCTTGTTCATATTGAAATTTATTATTCGTGTAATAAAATTCATTGATGAAATAAATTACAAGTGTTTGAATAAAAAACAACTTGTGTATAAGTAGAAATTTCTTTTTTTTCTAATGTTTTCTTCTCTTATAAAATAATTTACGTTTTCATGTTTTTCGATGATTGTTCGTCGTCAACTGGCAAAGAAGTGACCTAATATCTAATAATTAAGACATATCATCATCTTCTGTTGAAAATTCTATTCATATTAATATTACTGCAGTAAAGACATGAGATTAATTAGCATTGTGAAGTGCGAAACAAAAACTCTCAATGGAAATCTCTATTCATAACATATTGTTTGTGGTATATTAACCACAAACCTAATCTTTGGAGTACCAATCCTTTGCTGAATAAAACACTGGCGCAGGATCCTTTATGAAATTTTGACAATTGACTACAAAATGCTTCTAAACATTCATTCTACTAGCTTGTTGAATAGTTTTTTTTATAGAATGCTATAGATACTGAGCGAATGTCTGATAAGTACTCATATACTGAGATCATACTCAACTAGGTATTCAATCAAGTTCCTGTGGCAAACTGGTGACACATTATCTTGAACTCAGTACATTCTTCTAGGGCGAATATTACTTAAAGAAATAAATAAAAATATATAGACAATCTCAAGAGACGTAACAGTCTCTATCTATCTATGCTTTTTTTTTAATTAAATTTCGCGAGAACTAAATATTTATAATATGATCACATCTTCACATATACCAATAATATGAATAAACACTTCATCAATAATAATACATGTCAAATAATGAAATGATCAGTTTAAGAGTCTGAATTTCAATCAGACAGAAAATATTTAGTTAGAAGTAAAACATAAATTTGAATATGAAATAAAAATAATAATCAAAAAAACTCGAATGATTTTATTCTTAATAGAAGAGTGATGTTTTCTTTGTATTACTTCTTTTACAGGTGATTGAGTAAAATTTAAAATTATGACACTATCAACGGAGACAGCAGTCTTAAAATTTAGAGCAAATGAAAAAATTGAAAATTTGTGAGTTATCGAAAGTTAACCTATTTTTGAGAAAAAGTAGATCATCTGAAAAAAACTGAAAATTTTCTTCTAACAAAATCATCTCCAAAAATTGCAGACACACCTATTCTGAATCAGCTTTGTCATGCTCTATCTAACCATATACGGTATACAGAAAAAAACAAATTCTGTTTTATTTTGCATTATTGACATTTTATCTACCAAACTAGATTTTCATCATCGAAATATTTGTTTGAGCTATGAGTAACAGAAAAAAATGAATATTTTTCTGATGTATGAGATACATAATTAGAAAAATAGTATGGCATAAGAGAGAAAGTAAAGTGTTGCAGAAGATATACAAACTAATCCATAGGTGTTTATTATTTTTTTTAATACTCAACAAGAAAAAAACCTTTGTAAATGTGACGAAGACAAAATTAATATCAAGTTATTACAAATGTTATAAAAAAATGAGAAAGAACAAACACCTATCATGATGACTAACTCAGTATACATGCATAGGAAAAAGTAACAATGAGTTCTTATCTATTTCTTCTGCATTTCATATCTTTACTGATTCAAGTTCACACACGTATCTTCATTTTTTTTCATTTTGATTCTGCTGAAAACCATGGTTAGTAGATATATAGTCCAAAAATCAAGATTTTGTATTTTGTTTTTGTATTCAATATTCGATTTATATTCATTATGTAGGCAAATACTCCTAGTGCACCTCCGTCAAATATGGATCAGAAAAAAGAATATTTATTCAAAGTTCTTGTTATTGGTGAATTGGCTACAGGAAAAACAGCACTCGTCAAACGTTATGTGCATAATTTTTTCTCCGAACATTATCGAGCAACTGTAAAATTTTAAAATAGCCATATGTTTTTTTTTTCTAATTCAATAATTCTCTTTTCATAGATTGGTGTTGATTTTGCATTAAAAATTGTTAAGTATGATGATGATACTGTTATTCGTCTTCAACTCTGGGTATGTCAGTTTTTTTTTTGTTTCTTCGGATGATATAATTGTATTTTTGATTTCTTTTTTGTAGGATATCGCAGGTCAAGAGCGATTTGGTAATATGACTCGTGTTTATTATAAAGAAGCAGTAGGTTGTTTTATTGTTTTCGATGTTACACGAGGGTCAACTTTTGAAGCAGTTACTAAATGGAAAACAGACTTGGATAATAAAGTTCAATTGCCGGATGGAAATCCTGTACCATGTGTATTACTGGCTAATAAAGTAGATTTCTATTGAAGATAAATTTTGTGAAAACAAAGAAGACACTCAATTTGTTTTTTAATTTTAGTGCGATTTAGCTAAAGAAGGTTTAGTTAATAGTGCCCAACAAATGGATGAATTTTGTCGAGCAAAAGGATTTGCTAATTGGTTTGAAACATCAGCTAAAGAAAATATAAATATTGAAGCATCAGCTCGATTTCTTATTAGCGAAGTAATTTATGGAAATATTTGTTTTTGAATATTAATTTCAAGCTTTTTGGTTTTTTTTTTGTCTTAAGATTATGAAACATAATGAACAATTACAACCACGTTCACCAGGTAGTTATGCACGTAGTGGTACACTTACTGTACATGATAAGCCAGATGAAAAAACGAAAAATGATCGAAAATGTTGTGGTGGTAGTAATGATTCTGGTGATAGCAAAAGTTAATTATGATTTTTTTTTACAGATTTCTTTTATTTTGTATTGTATAACTTCATGAAATAAAAATTCTTCGTAAATCAGACATTGTTTTGTTTTGCGATGAAATAAACAAAAAGAAAATTCATTTTCTTTTACAATTTTTTATTATTTTCTATATGCATTGTCTTATATCAAGTCAACGACAATAATTTATTTAAAAAAGAAATAGGAATACAGTTTTTAATTCAAGAGAAACATTACAGGACTGATGTCATATCCATTATAATCAACAAATCTAATGGAAAATATAACACTCATTCAAAATAAACAACCAGCAGTTATGCAGATCATATGTCGTTGTCAAGGAAGACCTTTATTCACTGACATATACTCGAGCACATATAATATGACAACCGCATATGTTGGATGTGGCAAAGTTTTGCACCACTCTCTGTTGTGCGTGTGACTGTATTCAGAAAACATGATAAATCTTTTTTTTTTTCTTTTCAAAAAGATACACCATTGAATGTTCTACTCGGCTCATAAGTCTGAGTCTTTGTAGATATTTTCGAAATTTAATAGACTCCTTACATTGAACACGTATATCATCGTGTTATTTTTGATAAGAAAAAATAAAAAAAAAATCAATTTTAATCAAAAACCATGTCAACGGCAATTGAAGTACTCCACTATATCAATTTGTATCTTGATTTTATTATTTGTAAACGATGTATTTGACAGCTACACAACAAAAACAAACGTTTTATTTCAAGACAAAGAATCCAGATCAATTGACACACACGTGCTTTTCAACTTGTATTAGAGAAGAGAATGAGTAATAATCTTTATGCTTTGAAGATTACAGTAAGTCTCTGATTGATTCCAAACCTTATAGCCAAAATGAATGAACAATAATATTGACAACCAAAATTCAACAATTTCCGGCTTATTTCTCCATATAAGTTATAACATGAGGATAAACATGTTCAGTGTTAGCAATTTATTAAAATTTTGAAAATAGCGATAAACATTTTGTCTTGTGTATCTTTTTGAATAAAAACTAAAATACATGTAGCATATATATCTCGACATTATACTATCATTTACTGAAATGCTTCGAAATAAAAATGAATTCATTTTACAGAAATTTCGTCTCATTACTTGTTGTCATTCTTGTCTGATTGATTTCATTCGTTCTAAGCTGGCTTCAGTCAAGAATAATACTCTTTTTTTTCCTTTTTGAGTACTGCTTTCACTTTCTATTGGGACGATATCTAAAGATTTCGAGAGTCAAAAATACAGACAAACAAACTTGCCACATCATTAGAAGCTTTATTGATATTTCAACGAATTCGGATATACGGTTATCGTTGTTATTAATAGGCACATTCGTCATCAAAAAGGCAAATAATGAAATACATTTAACATTATTAATTGGAAATAGAATTTTCAATTCGATTGTTGCTTATTTTCTTTGGTACTTGCCGTTAGAGAGACATATCATTTTGAAAGAAGTGAATTCGTAGGGAGAAAAACAGAGATGTTCGGGTTCTGCAGGCTGTTGACATATTTGTGTGTTGGTAGTGGAAGCTTCATCGACGACTGCATCTGAGAGATTGTTTGTATTGATCATTTGAGAAAGTTGTTCATCAGAATCGATTTGTTTCAAATCGAATGAGGTACACTCTTTTAAAATATAACAGCAATAATACAAGCAAAAAATATAATTGGACTTGTTCTGCGTGAAAGCACACGATCACAAAAGAGATCATTTGCTACTTGAAAAATCATGAGGCGAGACAAGAATGAGATCAAATTAACTGTTTTATCCTTACTTTTATTTCATAAAGACTGAAAGAAGGAATTATATCAAAAAGAAGATGACAGTGAAGCCGCACTTTACGTCAATAATCAAATGACATACTCATTATGATGAACAACAGGAGTCATTCTAATGAACTCATAACGATTGATAATCGACAAAAGACGAAATAATTCTGATAAAAAGTTCAAGTTTTAAATGAAACCCATTTTTATCTTAATTATTCCTTGCAATGTATCTCATCACTATACCTTGTTATGTGTCAACAACTTAAACAATAAATTTACTTTTAAGTCTTAAGTCTTGTTTTTCTTCAATGAGCATTCTACATAACACTTAAACGTCACCATGGAGAGATTTTGGACTGTTTCTATCAGAGTATGTTTGCAACATCCATGACATGGACGAGATATTTCGTTTTTAAATAGTATCAATAAAGAGAAAAAAACAAGTAAAAATTGATATTTCCTTTAAATTAAAATTGCATCGACAAATGTTTAGTTTACTGTCAATTTTTTTGGACTAAATGTCTTGCATATACGTATGTCGGTTGACTATTTAAGATTTATCATTTGACTTTTTATTGTGTGTTCATTCTTTTCTCTAAGGTATTTTTTCATTTCTCGTTGGTCAGTCGAAACAAAAATGATGATCTCATTTGTCGATTAGAAAAAAATACGCATACCATATAAAAATAGAATATAATGTTTGAACTTTCTATATTTTCTTCATCACACCTGCTATACTGATATTTATCGCACAAAATATATACGTTTGTTTCAACAAAACATATGGAATATAGAAGACAGATTTTTATGCTCAGTCGGAGGGCATTCAAGAATTAACCTATCGAACTGTCTGAAACAAGAAAAATACATTTCGGTCATTGCACTCGAAAAAATAGATACAAACAATGTTTTTTTTTAATCTCGATATTCTAATAATTCATCGTTCAATGAAATCTCAATATACAAAGTAACAAAAACTGTTATTTCTAATAACTAATTATGGTTTATTTAACAGATGCCTAAAATTAGACTTGAAATAAATCTTCTGGAAGACAATTAAATAAGACGAAACTGTATGTTTAATTCTTAATCGAGATTAAGAAAATTTAAAAGTTATATATGAGAAAGTCGAAATCTTGTCATGATTAACTGATAATTATGATCTTTTTTGGAAATAAATAACATAAGAATTGAATCAACTTCTGTTAATGGGTTTCTTATGATTTATTAAGTAACAACAATCCAATAGAGTTCAAACAATGTTGTTTCATATGTGAATTTTTTTTATTATCGCTTAGTTCCAGATTGATAATATGAACAAGAAAAAACACACAAATCAGTGAAAATAGACATAGAATTTCGTTTAGTCTATAATTAATGGATAAATCGTTGTAGGCAAATATTTTTTTATAGTTTATATAGATTTTTCTTTCTTCAATTTGTTAAAAAAGAAACAAATCTATTCTTTCGAAATATTTCGTGTTCATTCATCTTTTTCTATCTACTTATTTTTTCTGCTAGCATTGCGTGCGAACGTTTCGCCTATCATTTCCTGCTGTGCTATACGAATGCACTCACTACCAATGACACTGCCATAAACGAGAGAGAGAGAGAGAGAGAGAGTCATCCTATTAGATCGAAGACATATATATGTATATTCTTATCGATGTCGTTTTTTTTGAATTAAACTAATTAAAGTCAGAAACAAACACGCAAATTGAATGAGGTAAAACAAAAAAGGTAGCAACCAAAAAAATCTCCTCTCGTTCATATCAATCTTTACAGAAATCGACTCTCATCCCATCAAATAATACTTAAGCTCGTTTGAGCATGCGGCTTATTGTTATACATAGATTTCATTGACTAGAACATTTCTGCAACGAACAATAAATACAAAAGTACAGCCAGTATTTATACAATGTCCATAGAAAATTACATGTCTAAATGTTGAGTCAGAATGAAACTGAATACAAAGCAACCTAAACTCGTCCATTTTTATTGAACCATTCTTTAAATTGAGTTATTTGTTTTTCTACAACTGTTCAAAACAACTGAAACCATAGAAAAAATACAAAATACGACCTATATTTTAATAACTAAACCTTTCTAAAAGTAAAATGTCTATAAAGTGAAATGCTTATTTTATGACAGATTCCCTGTAAAATCTTTATCATTTTTATATAATGCAACGTCAGACACTCTTAAAAGTGTACTTTATTAGAAATTTATACTTATTATCTATAATACAAAACCATAAAAATAAAATTGTTATCACTGTAAAAATTTGTCTCTATATTCAACACAATATTCTTGACTAACTCTCTTTGTTCATCATGCATCACATTTTCCAATTCTATTCTTCTTCAACTGTCGATGCTGGTTCACCATTACATAAGATAAGTGACTCATGAGCTGGCTTTTTTCCACCCAGTCCAACCTATTGATTTATATTAATAGATCAGTTTAATATTTTCTACTACTGATATCAAAAAAAAAAAGATTAAGAATTGAAATAGTAAAAAAAAATAAATGGAATGAATTTGCTAAGAATAATACATCAATATATTAATATATAGATATGCTATACATAAATGACTAGTTAATGAAACAAAATATTACAATGTTTGAAATGTAAGTTTATAAATCGTTGCTATTGCTCGATGGTGATAAACTTGTTCGAATTTCTTTTGATGATGTATTACTACGACGATATTTTGCACGAGCATTTTGAAACCAAACTTGTAAAACACGTTTAGGTAAACTAGTTTTTTCCGATAGATTTTTTAAATCTTTTGCATCTAATCATAAAGAAAAAGTTTAAATTTCATATGATAAAAACTAAAAAATCAAAATACAAAACCTGGATTATGATTTAAATTAAAATATGATCTCATAGAACGTAATTGATGATGTTTAAAACTTGTTCGAAGACGTTTTTGTCTTTTATGATGAATTTTATTTGATGTATTATCATCTATTTCAATATAATATGATGAAGAAAATAATGTTGATGAAAGTTTTAGAATATGTTCTTCATTTTCTTGTTGATAGTTTTTTATTTTACGTGTTTCATTTGGTGATGTATGATAACCTGAATCATCAAGAATTATATATGAATCGTATGAATCTTGATCAAAAAAATGATCACGACAATAAATACGATTATCTTTAAGACCATAATCATCACCTTAAAAGAAAAGATTTTTTTTTTAAATTTAATTATTCATATTTAAAGAAAACTTCAAACCTGGATGAAGAAGAATGTTACATATATTACATGTAAAACATTTCAAATGAAAAATTAATTGTTCAGCACGAAGTATTAATTCATCTTGTTTAATTGTTTTATTACATCGTGTACAATTATAAGAACAATATTTTCTACGGGAAAAAAAAACAAAGAATTATTTATAAAACAGAAAGTATCGAAAAAGACATACTTAATATAATCATTTTTACAAAAGAAATTTCCTTGTTTGGAAAAACATGTTGATTCTTTTTCAAGTAATATTCCACAGTCAGTACATTTTAAACATGATAAATGCCAACTACGATCAACAGTCATTAAATAATATGGATCATCAATTGATGTATGACATCCATAGCATAGCATTTTGCACTACAAGAAAAAAAAAACCAGAAAAACTGAGTGAAAAGAATGTGTTGAGATTTGTTTTTTTTTTTTCTTTATCAATAATTGTGATTGTTGCTCAGACACAACGTCTTGTCGAATGTCAAATAAGAAGACAATTGATAATGATCGTTGAACAACCGGTTGCTATTTAACGTTAACTTTACTTGTATTTGAACATTATGATATTGTATCTTTTCTTTTACGATTGAGAGAGGGAGAGAGAGAAAGAGAGATGGAAATCGCTTATCTATGAAAAATAAGTGGAACAACATTTTTTCTTCTTTAGAAATAGAACAAAAAACAACGGGGACACTTGCTTATCTAAACAAATAGCATGATCGTGCGATTTAACATCAAATAAATAAGATCAATTTAAAGTTATGGATCATATTTTAATTTGTTTTCGTTACTATTGTTTGAAAACTTCGACATATGTTTTAAAATACTGACTTACCTTCTTTTTTTTCTTTTAAATGATCTTAATCAAATTTCATGATACCAACGAGAAAAATATACACAGATGTCTAATAATATTGGTGTTTATAGTCGATAAAAATTATAATACATACTAAGAAAAGAAAAAATTGTGAGAAGACAAATTTGTCATTGGTGATTTTTTATTGGTCAATCAAAAAGAATCTCTCTCTATTCAGTGAAAAAGAAGGTACTGTTTGATGACATTTTTCTTACCACAGATTTGTAAAATGTAGCAATAACAACCTTTGTGAAGTATATTTTTCCAGACATACATTAATAGTGATCAATTGTCTTACCTTTCTCTCTCTCTCTGTTAAATATATAGAAATAAAGAATTGTACCAATCTTGCCATTTCATAAATAATATAAGATAGAGAAAAAATTAGTTTCACTATGATATATGAACATTTCTTTTCAATTAATGTAGTGATATACAAAAAACAGATAATGAAGATCGAGTTTATGTGATTAGTTCAGTTTTGTGTGAGAAGAATTTCAAATTCTCTTAAATATTTTCTTTTTATACTGAATTTATTAAGGAAATGATAGCTCTTAGTGGAAAGATACATGCTTTTTGATTATTTTTCCATATCGATGGTGTTTTTTTGTTATTTTGGTATAAGGAACAGTCGTATGATTGTCAGTGTCCCCGACATGAGTAAAATTTTTGTGAACCGATTCGAGTCGGATATTAATGTTCGCTCTTCGAAAAGAATATTAAATGAGAGTAATTAAGAAAGTGTTTATCTTACGAGGGAACGATTTTAGGGTATGAATGATTGTTTTCTCACTGAAAGCCACTTGTTTTTAGCTATCGATTATGTCGATTCTAAGTATGACCATGAGAAATCCTCTTCGATCTTCATATGTCGATTTTGTAGAAAACTGAGTTTTCAGACTAACAAACATTTTGCCTAAATCTTTTTGTATCTGTTCAGATTATAAAGCGTATCGAGTTTTCCATGAGATAAAAATTTTTTCTGCATGTTAAAAAGGAATTTTAAATAAAATACTATTATCTTGAAGATTTTCACATTAAAAATGTTCATATGTGTCTGTTTCTTATGAATTAAAATGGCTGTGATTCCTGCAAAAACTAATTTGAAAGATACAAGTTACTGTTTCTTAGACAACTCTTTATGTTTTGACGAAAAGTTTGTTCTTCTGGAAAACCCCGTTTTCTAAAATGTTGAATGATTTATTTTGAAAATCAGTAATATATTAAAGAATAATGGAACGAAATTCTTTGACTGTCATTTCCTATTTCTTAGAAATTCATAATGAAGAAATGTGTTACACAACGCTTGCATATATTTAGTTTATGTTCTTATGAAAGTTTCTGACAATAAAGTATGTACGAATATCTATTAGTCTCTCAAACGAACGCAAAAGGAGAATGAACGATATTCTGTTATTCAAATAAGATTTGCAATATCATGATCATTATTTAAAAACTTACTGACCAATGAAACAAATGTGTTCATAAGTTGTTTTTCTTAAAAATATTTTTTCTATAGGCATGATGAAAGGAAACAGTGTTTTGAGTACACAACTAAATTAAAGATCTATTTCTGAATTCGGCTCTCTGATATCAGAAAAAAAAGTTGAACCCTGATAAAGGTGAACTCTCATCACCGCTTGCATTAATCACAAACAATTCCAATCATAGATGTCATAATACCCATCCACTGGGTATCCACAGTTCAACGTCACAATACCCGAAGAATATTCAAGAACAAGCTACCGTTACACTTCAGCAATACCAGTTCTTTGAGTGTAATACTCTTAGAGTATCGTGTTTGATTAAACGATATCCTGAAATTTGAGGAATTTGAGCTGTTTTGGTGTAATGGCTTTTAGGATAACATCTTCTATTGTGCATTCCTTATAAGGAAACCAAAACAATTCCGAAAAAAACTCATAATTATATACTGTCATATGAAGGTCGTTACCATAAAAGTCATTACACAAAAGCAACTCAAATTTCTCAAATTTTAGGATATAGTTTAATCGAGCACGATACCATGCAGGTCATTACACCGAAAGAAACATTTAGTAGCATGTCGTGGGTAGATACTCTAACAGAGAATATGAGAAAAGTCGTTACCTGGTGTAACGGTATTATGACATCACTCTCTCTTTCTTTTCATTATTTTATATGTATTCTTGTACTATTGCGCTTGAATTATTCCTTTCGTTCTTTTCGTTGGAATTTTACATTTGTTTTGCATATATATATATATAGCTGTGATTGGAATGATAAGGGAATAAGAAGGAGAATAAATAAGCAAGAGTAAAAGTTAAACCTAACAGGAATCGACCATAATATTGTCGAAGAAACATCTACCATATCTTAGCATCAGCAATCAGTTAGGGCGTCGACACTTTTATTTACTTTCATTTAGTTTTTGTCAAGTGCAGCATACCATTGTTCGGGAGCAGTTATCGCCTCTGAGGTCCCATTCAATAACTAGCGACCACAAAATGTTTGAAAAGTTGATTTCTACCATTGTTCAATTTTGTATAAGACACTGTTACTCATTTTGAGGTGTCTACTCTTTACCTAGAATCTAGATATTTGACATTAAACAATGAACTTAATGATCACACGAGATATTTGAAACATAAAATGTATTGCATTTTATCGGAAAGAGTGAAACAATGAAATGGTCACGTACACTACCATCAATAAAAAACCATCCATATAGTCAATGATAAAGTGTGAAGAGATGCTGTTCTACTATGTTTCACTCTAGCATGACGCTAATAAAAGCTTGTTAAAAATTATTTGTTGCAAGAATTTGTTTCATGATTCAAAAATAGGTATGATGAAAAACAAATCAAAAGAAAAATGTAGAATCAAAAGAGTACATTTTCATTATAGTAACCTATGGCAGCTACAAAAAATTTATTGAATAAAGAGAAAGAATAGAGAAATTCGTAAAGATCTGAGTGTGGTGTTATTCTCTATACATATAACCAAACTCATATTTCCTTACCCTTGACTGAAACCCCTAGTTTCTGCTCGATACCGGCCTCGAAAAATGTTATTGTTCCATAGAGAATTAGATTCTGCATAGAACCCAAGCAATAAGAAATTCAACTCAAGTCTAGGAGCGCATATCAGCAGAAAAAACTCCAATCCACTGCTAACCTTCCTCACATCATGATTCACTATTTTTTTTTGCAATATTTTTATTAGCAACATAAGATAACCCATCGGGTGTGATTGAGTCTTGTTTCTGTCTACTACCACATGCACACATGAACGTAAATCCAAAACCCGAAATTCTACATTAACGTCCACACATACACCCCAAAACGGGCCCTTTCAATGGTCACACTCGAACGATCTCTTACAATTAATATCCTTTTTTATGCTATTTTTCATATTTGATGCTTTTCCTTTCGACATTTCTCATTTGTATTTTGTCTTTTCAGTCTTTTTCTACTCAACATTTTCCCATTCTGTCTTTTTCCATCCATTTAAAAAAACACGTCCAACTTGCTGAAAAGTTTAGTTTTCTCTTTCCATAAAAGACAAATTCTCTTGAAACTAAAATTTAACGACACCCGAACAAAAAAATGAAATTAAATACGCAACACAGTCACAATAAAAAACCTATTTACGTAAGCAATACAATAATAATGCGTTCCTTCACCTCACATAATCACTAGAAGAGTTCTTCATAATAACGGGCAAGATTGAAAATCATTGGACGGCTGCCATGCATCCTAAAACAGTTACACAGTGAAGGTGCACCACCTGCAAAACCAACACTCACCTATTCATGTTTCGCCATCCGCCTAAATTTTCGGATTTCTTCAAAACTGATTTTTTTCCCACAAAGCACAACTTTAGATATTTGCTAAACATACAGGAAATAACATATCGGCAGAAAACAAACACCCGTCAAAACATACCGTATGGTTTTCTACTTCATTCGCTAGAAGAACCGCATCTTTTTTCATAGATGTTATTTCTGTCAAAGTCTATCTCTACTGATTTCTACGCGAAAACAGATTATACGTAAAAGAAACCCATTCGTCAAACATATAAGCGCTTACCGTGTTATTCGCGAGACCTAGGATGATACAACGCATACCTAGCTTCGTCAATTTACATTCCCCCAGATCAAGTTTCGTGATTCCCTAAAACCACAATTCTATATATGATTCGAACAGAGGCCCAGAGTACTGACTGTGGTATGTGCAAACCCTGCCGCCAAATATTTTGCACCTTCGTCGCCGATCTCATTCGACGAAAGACTTAGCTTTGTCACTTTCTATCGTGAAATGAACGTTTAGGTATTCACACACTGGTCACCGGCAGTCTGCGTACTTACCGTATTATTTCGAAGCAGAGAAATCAGGCAACGTACACCCTCTTCACTTACCGCGCACGACGACAAATACAGTTCGGTGATCTTCTAGAAAAAGACATTGTCATGGAATCAGCAACTTACAAATACCAATTACTAACTGTGGTCACTGCGATCCCT